CTCTAATGCTGCCTGGCAGAGCAAAAGCAGGAAAAAAAAAAAAAAAATGTCTTTTGTTTATTCATTCAACAAATGAAGTGAAAAAAGCTGGATGTTGACTTCATTAAGTAACACCAACAAAACCTTTGCCCACCTCAGGCTCTATATTAGTTAAACTAATTTGAACTGGAACGAGAAGGTAGGCGAAATAAACTTGCGTCCTAAACTTAGGCTCTTTAAATTAGTACCATGACTGTTGAGAGGCCAGGAGTATAGCAGAGTAGGTGAGAGTCCAGGCTCTGGAGCTGGGGAGCCTGGGTGTGAAGCCCACCTCAGCCATTCACCTGGCATTGGGGAAGCAGCTTGACCCCTCTCTGCATTGACAGTGGCCCCAACCTGCACTGGCTGTAAGGTTTTGGCAATTTACCTGCCCTCTCAATGACTCCAGTTCTTCATCTGTGAGGTGTAGGTAATATTGGTCCTGACCTCTGTGGTTCTCCAATGTGCTCGTGAGGGCTCAGCATCTTGCATGTACTCGATGCCTGCAAGCTATTGTCATTAAACATGGGAGCCTGAAGCATGTTTTCACTTCATGTCCTTTCCAGCTTTGTTACTGTTGGTTTCCAAGGATTACGATGCGTGAAGTGGGGTGAAGAGGCAAGCTATTTTAATTAATAAGTTTTTTGTAAGTTGAGTTAAATCATTCCATCAAAAGGGATTTGGTGGAATCATTTTAAACAGTGATCTAGTACTATGATAACCGTATCGGGACCTATGATGGGTTTCAGCATGGACTGGGTGCCTCTGGGACATCGCTAGCAGGTCCAAGATTATTACTCAAGTGCTTCCAGAGTTCAGGAGTTAGAAATGCTAAAGACCCAGGAGCCAGGTTGATTTGAGACCTGTCTTCAGGTCCTGACTACAAGGATAGGTCTGTGTTTGAGAGGCATTAGAGTGTCGTAGAAAGAGCTCTGGGTTTTCTTTAAAATTCCGAAGTCAAGCCCTTAATAATTCTATAGCAAGTTAACTAGCTTCTGAGCATCAATCAGTGTATTCATTTTTTAAAATAAGCATGATAATATCTACCTCATAAAGTTGTGATGAGGATCAGGCCACCATTGAGCCTATTAAGGGCTCAATAAATATTCCCCTTCCCAAGAAAATCTCCTCTTTCCTAGGAGTAGAAATGGCTCACTTGGTAAACCCAGAGAGAGCAAACAGATCAAAGCTTAGTCAGGGGCAAAACTGATTCAAAGAGTATTTGCCATGTGCTATCCCTCTAAACAACTCTTCTCTTCAAAGCTTTCGACCTGAAACTATCCCTTATGAAGAAATAGATGGTGACTCCTATCTGCTGTCCCAACTATAAAGAAGAGCTTTAAGAAAACAGGGGTTCCACATTGGAGAATGTAAAGAAACTGAGACATTCTAGAGTAGCTGATGCCAGGACTACGCTTCCAAGCAAGAAGCTTGTTGACTGGAAAAACAGAAGAAAAATATCATCACCTCTTGAGACTCTGCCCCCTGGCTGTTTTTCTGCTGCTCTGGTAGACATCTGCCTGGTGGACTGGAGTTAAGAGACATCATTCACCACTGCCCAGGACTCACTCACTGAGCTGGCCTACTTCCCCTCCTAGCACCTAGATGAAAATTGGTGGCACTGGATAAATGTGGGATTTGATGGGGGGAGAAGAGAGAAAGTACATAGAGCTCCCAGAGAGAGAGAGTCTGGCTACGGCTGCTATGGCTGTAGAGAGAAGAATACAATCAGTGTTGGCGAAGGTTAGACTTTGGGAAACGGGATCTAATGCACCTAGTATTTAGAAAGATTAATCCCCTTCCTTCATCGATATTGGCTTGTCTCTTCCTCCTAGAACCTGTCCTATTCTAAATGATAACTTAAATAATTTAAATTTCTTAAACAACTTAAATAACCTAACTAATAAATACCTTCTGGACTAGCCAGGATCCTACCCCTCCTCGGAAACAGTGTTATATTTGAGTAAATACATTTCTAATGAAACGGCCAACTTAGAAATGAACTTGTAAAACCAAGCCTGGTCTTAAATTGTTATTTGGCAGATATCTAAAATTCCTAATATTTTTATATGGTCAAATCCCAGGTGACCAAGATGAGTTTCTTGTGTTTATTGTGCACATTTAATGTTATAATTGAATGACAAGTGTTTAAATGCATTTAAATAAAGATCAGAAAACAATCAATTCCAGTAAAATTATATTTAATTGGAAGTAAAGTAAGGTTTATGAATACTTATTTATTTACTTACTTATAAGATGAAGCAGTTATTTCGGTGTGACTTGGTCTTTATTTAAACAGGCAGGAAAAAACTAGATATTACCAGCGCCTTTTAGAATTCCTATGTGCTGTTGATGATGCGGTGTGGAATAATGCACACTGAAAATTAGAATTAAATGCCTTACCCCAAACCAAGTTCCAGGAAGATTAAAGCTTCAATATTTTAAAACAAAGCAAGCAAACAATCAAAGAAGGAAAAATGAATTAAAGATTTATCTAACTTGGGAGGAAGGAAGGAAATTAAAGTATATAACTCTTGAAGAAATCACCTAATAAAAAAAGATGTGCAGACTTTATTTTATAAAAATGCAAAATACCTGTGTATTTTAGAGTAATAATATATGGCCAGCAATTAGAAAAATAGAGCAAATATTTTACACATAGGCAAAGGGTAGTTATCTTTATTATGCAAAGAATTTATAAACAAGTACACACATATACACATATAAACTCTTCAACTATTAGGATTTAATAAATGCTTGGAGAATATACAATTAGGAGAAATGGTTGACCTCGTTAGATGTTAAGTAAATTGAAAGGAAATAAGAAACATGTACTATTTACTCATCACATTCACAAATTTTGTTTAACAGTTTTTTATGATAATTCTCCCAGCTCCTAGCAATAGAGATAATACTACAGGCCTGTCATTCACTAATGAAGCATTGAACTGAGCGGCCACCCCACTGGGAAAACAATTTGATAACATCAGTCAAGGTCATCATAGTCTTCAATGCACAGGTTTCCTTTCTCTAAACTGCCCTAAAAAATATTTCTAGTTCTAAAACAGCCTTCATACATTCATCATGGTGTTCTTCATAAAAGTGGAAAAAATGCTAACCAACCTAACTGCTCAACAACAAAGGAAGTATTAAGTAAATTTGGTACAGTCATTGGATCTGATATCAAGAGGCTAAAAGCGATGCTTAATGGTGACTGTATATGGAAAAGTATATTCTGTGTGATTTCCGTATATTTAGCTCTGTATGAGAACATTCTGAAAAGAAACTCACAGAAGCCCTAACAGTGGTTGTTTAGCTCTACGGGAGAGGTAGGCAGTCTGGGAGGTGGTCAAGAATGTGAGCTCCGAGTCCAAATGCCTGGGTTTAAATCCCAGCTCTGTCACTTGAGTGGCTTTTTGACTTTGGTATTAAATAGCTATTGGAATCTGGCAAGTTCGAAGTTCACTGTGATTAGATTTCTCCATCAGTGCTTTGGTGATAAAATAGTACCTACCTCCGGAGGGTTTTTGTGAGGATTAAGTATCCAGACCAACACAAGTAAAACACTGACAATGCTTGGCGTATGGCAGGAGCTCAGTGAGCATTAGCTATTTGCTGTTTAAGTGGTCGAACCAAGAGAGGCAGGCTTTTGCCTCTCTTTTCTGTGTTTTCCAAATCCCCTTTTCTCTCTTGAACGTATTATTGTTGCATTGGGAAAACGCGATAAATATTTTCCCAAAGGCCCTGAAAACTGGATCAGCCAGATTTTCTAGCCACATAGACACAGACTCTTACTTGGAATATCCCATTATATAATCAAAGAATGGATACTTCATGGTTGCTGAGACCCAAGAAATGAAATTGGAGTTGCTGTGACAGCTGAAATGAACTTTGTGCCTCATTTCCTAAGAGAAGAAGCCCATTTAATAAGAAGTTAGGATGATTCAGTTTCCTTAAAGAACTGCTTGCTTCCCTTGGAAAAACTTATGTCTACCCAGTATTCTCTCCCCCTTCCCCAACCTCTAGCTTCTAGATAACTCAATATTTCTCTATAGCTCACATGTTTTAGTAATAGCAGGACAGAAATTTTGAAAATATTTACAATACTGGAATAAATACATTTTCTTGGGCAATGAAAGTAAATTAGGGAAGCGGGGAGGGAGTAAATTTATTCAATGTGTTTGTTGATTTCTGAACACTTCAAAAGCTATCGTGCATAATTTAATTTACAGATAAAGTTATTTTTTTTAATATATTTTAAAGTTCCAGGAGCAGAAGGAAAATTAAGGGGAAAATTGCCTTCTCTTTCTCTTACTCCCCCCTAAGTTTTCAGGGAAAATTTTTGGAAAAAAGTCTCTGCTCGTTTTGGAGTCTTCTTTTGCCAGCAACTAACAAGTCTGTACAATACAGTTGCCAAGGTAATATCAAGACCACGTAGACAGAAAGGATGGTGTGCAGACAGGGAGATGATGAAAATGGATTAACAATGTGAACAAGAGGAATTTTTTTAATTGGAAAAAAATAAAATTACACTACCCTTTATAAGTGGTTATGTTGGCAGTCCTAATATCTGTTGTTACAAAGGAAATTCATTATGGGTGTTTTTTTTTCCTATATTGCCTTGTTCATGGATACATGATTTGTCTCCTAGTTATGCCCTATCTTTGTAACGCTGTACTGAGCCATGTCAAAATGGGTTCTACTGCATTCAAGTTAGACAAAGAAATTTTTCATTTGCTGGAGCCAGTAACATTTTTTCTCTAAGTTCTGCTGAAAGCCTGGATTCAGCCAGACCCTTCCAGACTACAACCGAAGAGACAGGAATACCCCTTGCTCCTAAAGCAACACAAATATTTGCTGTTTAAATAAATGTACTCTTGTCTGACAGCAGTGACCACCAGCCAAATAGTTCCTCATTTCCCTAGGACTATGACTTCGGTTTTAAAAAAGACTCAATTTTTCTCCGTTTTTCCCCCCTTCAGGTACAATCCTTGGATTTACCCTCCGACCCTACAAAATGAGCTACCGGGAAGTCAAGTACTTCTCCTTTCCTGGGGAACTTCTGATGAGGATGTTACAGATGCTGGTGTTACCGCTTATCATCTCCAGTCTTGTCACAGGTACCATATGCAGTTTGGGTTTTTTTTCCTTTTTTTTTTTTTAAGTGTGCTTATTGCAAAAGATCACTTAGAAAAGCAAATGCTTTAGGTTTCTGCTGGATGCATGCTCTGTTCTAGAAAAACAAAAAAAAAAGTCCCTTCAAAATGATGGAGAAGAGGCTTTAGTAATGCATGAATGATTGTAACTCTCGTATTTTACCAATCACAAGAGGAAACGGATTTGAACAACCACGTAATCTGGTCTGCCTCACTACGAAAGAGGCATCTTGCTAAACACTACACACCAGCCTTCTCTGACCACAGCAATACAGTTGACAACAGCGTACAACAGGTCTGTTTTCTCACCCTCTTATCCCACCCAGATAACATCTGGTTGGACAGCCTATTAGCTATTGATGCAAGAATGCTTGTTCTCAGAGCCACCAGGACTTGAGCGGGAGCCTTCTTGGAAGCCTCATCAAGAGGTAATACCCACAACACACTCACCAACTCTGCTGCCACCAACACTTTATCTTTTCCTGGTGAACCCGCATGATTTCATTTCCTTCTCCAGTTGTCCCCCACCCCCGTTACCTTTTACACTGCTGGGAGAATGGGGAGGGGGCGGGAGATTTCCCCATCTGGATATTTTGTCCGTTGACACTTGGATTTTCAATGAGTGGACGCTCTGCAGGGTAGGAGCTATTTTCTGTGACAGTAAGCTAGCAGTTGACTCCTGCATGGGAAATGCTTCAGGAGTCATTTGTACGTGTGACTGGTGAATACCAACGGAGCCAAGAAGTTGCAAAAAAAAGTTACTATACAGTCCTTCCTGCCCACTCTTCTCTTTCCCCACAGCACATCTCTGACATGAAGAAAGAATGTCCATAGACACTGTCCCAGCAGGATGGTTTCTGGGTTTGTAGCTAAAGCCCAGAACTCAGGTACTACTGACCCTGTTCTCTTTTCCAGCCTTGGCTCACTGTCCCTCCTTGGGCACATTACTCCCCCTCTATGTGAGCTGGCTCTGAGCATCTTTTCCCCTCCCAGGGAGTTCTCAAGGATATTTATAATCTCTTTTCAAGATCTCTGTGTAGTAAGAACTTCATAGCACAACTTAAAAGTCATGGGGCAAGATTCTGACTACTACATGCCTGGGAGGGCTAGCCTTCCTGGGACAGGAACGATGTCAGCTTTTCCCCAATGCCTCGCGGATCTCTACTGGCTTCCACTTGTTCAGGTCTTTAAACAAGTGATTGCCTGTACACAAGTCTCCCATTGGAGGAGAAAGTGCCCATAAAATAATCACGTAGGCAGAATGATGGGGGTGCTTGTTACCGAAGTGACCTGGCCCATTGCTGACCAGGGGTAACCGTAGCAGCCCCAGCTCTTATCACAGAAGCTAGATTAAATGCTGACGTGAGCTTACATTCTCATTTTCTTATCCACGTATTGACATTTTTCTGGGAAGCAAGTTCTTGCAGTAGCACCAAGAGGACAGAACACACTCACATGTGCCATTTTATTTAGTGGAGCAGGGCATCCCTCTTGCTCAGTCCTACTGGCTGGCGTCTGACTTGAGTCACTGCGGTCTTCCTAGACACAAACTTGAGGGGTTCTGGATTCCTTTATACTGTCTCTTCAAGGGTGGGACCAGGGTTTAGAGGCTTCTGCTTTCTGGTAATTGTGCTAAAAACCCACTGTGTCACTCATTCTAAGAGGAAGCCCTCATTTGGTATAATTAGAGAAAATATTACTTCCCCTTAGTAGCAATCTTACCTCAAAGTGGATTTTCCTGATGTTTTCTAATACTTAGTACACCAACTTTATTGAAGGAATGCAAATTTTCATTGAATGGTTTTGCAGGAAAAAAACACTATGATGCAGTCAGTCCCTTTGCATGGTTGAAAAGAAATTTGTGGGTAAGCCGTGGAAAAACTAGCAACATTTATAATATTGAAAGGAATTATAAGCTGCAAGCAACCAATACTAATGCTCTTTTAAAATGTAACCTAATTGCAAGTTGGGGACGCTGCCACTTGGGACCATGAAAAGAGTCTCAGCCCTTTTCCGGGACTGTGTTAAGACAAGGGACATAATTTAGTTTGCCAAAGATCTTTTTAAAGTGTTAACCTCAAAGCAGTAATTTCCAAGCTACATGGTATTTTGGATACTTATGCTCAATTACGATGAATGATTGATTCAATAAGACTTTCCTTCAGGGTTTTAAATACAGTGATTCCAAACCAAAAGGGGGGCAAGAGGGTATGACCCAATGGGAATGAGGAACGGAATGGGGGGACTTCTGCAGATTGCATGCATCCCTGGAGGACCCCTGTGTGTGTTGGGAGATGCTAGAGAATGTGGAGAAAGTGTCGGACAATGTGTTTGCCTAGGAAGGGAACAAAGTCAGGGCCGTTATTTTAGAATGGAAAAGCAAACTCAAATGCCTCCCACAGCCAAGCAGGTGATGATTATATATGAAGCTGCCCTTTCAGGCTACTTTTTGTTTTCTTACTTTGGTAGAGGCATGGATACAGAAAAATAGGTTTCTTTGACAGGAGAAGTAACAGGGACAAGCGTGATGATAAGCAGAAAGTGATCCAGCTACAGAATAGTGTAGACAAGGGACAAAATTTTTGCCATCTGTCAAATCTGCTGATTTTTCAAGAGGGTCCAGAAATTAAAAAAATTTTAAGAACCTTCAGATTTTTCAGTGTTGTTACAATTAACAGAACAAAACACTGCAAGCCAAACAAAGCTCATTTGCAGACCCAAACCAACTCTTGGGCTACCAATATAGGAACTCAGGTTTGAATGTCAGTGCTACTCATTGTAAGAGATGCACTACTACCCGGGTGCACCCATAGATCATTGGGTTTCCCTTATGGCCTTCTTCAACTATTCACAGTTCCTTGCCAAAGCTCCACTCGACATGATATTCCTAAACACCACATTTATTCCCACCTAAACAAAGAGCGATTAGAAAACTTCTCTCCATCTTCTGGGCATAACCTCATTGTGTCAGAGCTGTGCTGATCTTTCCTGCACCTGACGGGAACACTAGAATCAGAACTCAGGGCTCATGCTCCCCTAGAAATAGTTCCCGGTGGGAAAATATTTGACAGACTCACTGCCTTTAAGTCGAAACTTGCAGAGTTTCTACAGACAGAAATTGAAATGCACGAAGCCCTTATTGCATTTGTTGGATTAGGTATTTTGTTTTAAAAGATTCTGTACATTTAATTATATTAAAGTCCTATTTAAACTCAGAAATCTAAGTTAGGTTTTTGTATTTGAAACATCCACGTTTGTGAATTGGGGCTCTAAAGCGCCAATAAGCCATGTCCTCCTCTTCCCAAATTCGAAATTCCAATCTTTCCAAATACCCTTGGTGTGTGTTAGCATTCTGGAGCTGCCAGAGAGAAGCTGGGAGCAAGCCTAATGGCTGGATTTGTACTCAAGTACCTGTGTTTTTGAACAAGAAGAGTAAGTCTGTGCCAACAAACCACACAATAAAATAGAGGTTTGGCGCCAGTTTCTATTGATTTGGTCAGCATAGGCAGCCAAACTAGATATTTCATGCCAGAAATATGAGTTGGTTTGGCTGGTTTAGCCTGATTAAATTTACTGGATAATAATTAAACTCCTTTTCGGGTTGTGCTTTGTAGACACAACTATCACCTCCTTCATCTTTTCAGAAAACTAGTACTTTCTTCTTTTCTCATCTAAATGTGTATTCCTCCTCAATTACTTAACTCACACTGTATCTCCAGCTTTCTGGAAGGGGGAGCATTGCTTGACCAAAGATCTCTGTGGCGTTGGGTATAGTGTAAGTAAAAGGGGAGTAGTAGGGGAAGGCCAACAGCAATAGAGTGAGGGCAGTGTCTGGGGCCCATGTAGGGCACTCTGGAGTTGAGGCTATGAGATGGATGAAGTGTATCTTTTAACATTCATTCATTCATTAACAGCTATTTTTTGAGCTCTTACTATGTCAGACACTGAGCTAGGCACAAGAGAGACGTGAACACAAAGATACGATCCCCAAGAGGATGTATGTTGGGTGAAGAGGGAGAGCTTCCCTGCATCTCTGAAATCACACAATATTTTAAGCAAATCCTAATTCCAACTATGAGGGAGTAAGGCTCACTCTCTATTTGGTGACCTCTTGTTAGGTGAGCACAGGCTGAACTCCTCTGAGCTACACAACAGCTGGCCCAAACCCAGCCAGTGTGAGCAGAGGGTTGGGTCCAGGTCGGTGTCCCTACCCCGACATGTGACATCTGGAGCACTGGGTTAAATTCTGGGAGTGGGGTACAAGGGAGGGTAACCAGGGCAACAAGAAAGACATTTGATTGATTTTAGGAACATGATCCCAAATCTGACTTTCTGAGTCATGGCATCTCCATCCCAAAGGTATATGGCTACCACCCCTATTCTCATTTCCTTAAAATGTTCTTGAAATCAACATACTTTTCTTCCAATGCTTTAAATCATTACAGAAAGTTCCTGTTACTTGTCTTGTGGAGATAATAAATTACAATCTAATAAAATTCTGGATTGCTACTATTGCCTGCCAAAGGTTTTGAGAGCCTGAGACCTGGGCTCTCATTGTTTAAAAAGGTGCCTGGTGGGGGCAATGGGGGGAGGGCCGGGGTGGTGTTAATGAGGTGTTAAATGCATTTGAGTACCACAATAAGACTTACCTTTCCTGGAATACAAGGACTGAAAGACAATAGAAAAGAATGACTTTCTCACTATGTGATTTAATGTTAATTACGGAGGGGTTTCTGTCCCACCAGAATAAATAAATACCACTGTATTTACTCTACTTTGGAAACACTACTCTGGTCCAACCAGCCTTGGAGTATCTCCTCCAAGTCATTGTCCAGCTTCTGCCTAAACATTCCCAAGGACAAAAGATCTTTGGAACCCATTTGTCCTTGGAAAACTAACAATTCTGTTTATATCCAAAATCAAACAAACAAGTATTTTTAAATCCAGAGAAACAGAACATTACC